TTAAAATAAAGACTATATATGTTTGTATATATACCTAATTAAATTTTATTATTATTAATATTTATAACATAAAGAAGTGAAGTGTTTATGATTAAATGTGATAATTCTATCATTCATGTTGGTTAATGTATGTGTATATATGTATTTTATTCACACTAGAATACAATATTACTTATTATATTTATGCAAAAAATATAGATAAAATGCAATTTCTATGTTCCGACTAGTCCCCGACTAGGCGCCCGCCTATCCGCCTAGGCGCTAGGCGCTGGGCTGGCGCCCGACTAGCGCCTAGCACCTTTTAAAACATTGATAATTACTATTCGGTTAATTCTCTTTTCAAGACAATTGTCCCATACACTCGTTATTATCTTATTTATTTTGATTTCAATTTTTATTTTCTTTAAATTTTCCTTTTTCTTCTCTTTTTCCCTTCTCATCTTCCTAAAAAGTATTTGTTTTTTTCTTTGTCCCTTTTCACCCCTGCTTTTTTCGCTCGTTATAGAGATGATTTCTCGCTCTACATTTCATCTTATATTTTTCGCTTTTCAGATAATGTTTGTCACATCTTCTCCTCTACTTCCTATAAAGAGTATATGTAACTGTTTTCCTGATTATTTTTTTAATTTAATTTTTCCCTAATCTTTTTACCACAATTGTTTTTCCCATAGTTTATGAAATTTATGAGTGGACTTAGAAAAATACAATGACGACGCGGGAAGGAGAAAAATATACATATGGTGGAATTAAGTAACAAGAATAAAGAAAAGACAAAAAACAAGAAAAGAATATGGGGAAAAGTGAAAACAAAAAGAAAATATAACAAAACGTAAAGTGGGAAAAGATTTTTAATAAAAAGAGAATGGTTAATAATAGAAACACGTGAAAAGGGAAATGAAATAAAAATAAGGAAAGAAAAACAAAAAGGAAATATAACAAAAAGTAAAGTGTGAAAAAAAATTTAATAAAAAGAGAGTGATTAATAATAGAAAAACAAAAAGGAAATTGAAATAAAAATATGGGAAGAAAAAATGACAAAAAGAATTTGTCCGGAAAGGATATTTTATATAAAAACACTCTCCTTTTCCTCTAAATATAAAAATAAAAACTCTCCTAATAGAGTGACAATAGAATCATAAATATGGAATGGAAATAAAAACAAAAGGATGCGAAAAGAAAAAAAAAAGTCTCTAGGGTTACAAATAAAACTAAAGTTAGGCTGTGAACAAAAAATGAAACGTGTGACTATTTTAACCAAATTTGTTAAATGTGAGATTATTTATGTAATGTTTCTACAAAAAAAGACAAAAACATATTGTAATGTCATCAACCGGTCAGAGTCTAATGAGAGAAGATGAGCTGCAAAGGTGAGATTATTCTAAAATTACATATAGATGGAATTATTATGAAAAGACCGATCAAAGGTGAGATTGTTATTGCGAATTTTCCTTAAGGAATAAGAGTCAAATAAATAATCCCTTCTATTGTTACGAATCCGTCATTTAAGCCCATATATTAAAAAAAGCATCACATAAGTACGATTACTTTTGAGAAACCTTAGCATAGCAGCGGCCGTCTCCACCAGATTTCGGGGTCGTTTTCTTTGCTTTCGTTTTTGATGAAGCGTGGCTTTTTTGTGCGGCTCTCTTCTTCCATTCGTGAGGCTTTCTTCTTCGGTACCAATATGACGGCCAAAGATTGTACACCCTTGACAGCAGGTGGAGAGTTTCGAGGATGTCATTCATGGTTGAGATCAGCCGGTATGGACAAAGTGTGGGGCTAGGGGCTGGAACAGATCTGGATTTGAAGTCATCCGTGATAGGTGGTGACAGAGGAGGCTTGGTAGAAAACATGATGAATAAGAGGCAAGAAGAGGAAGAAGCTACAATACTGTTGGACAGTCCCCCTCCCGAACCGCCGCCATGGAGTGCAAGTACGTCGTCTAGGGTTTGGAAGCAGCATTTTAATTTTACTGTTTGCTTGCTATGTAATTTTCATGATCAGACTGTTTATTTTTCTGTTGGTTACACTTATTGTTGTAAGACTATTCCATTATGATTGGGTGGTAGGAGGTCTGCTGTAACCGTCGTTGGCTCATTTATGCTATTATAGGATTAGCGAGTCATATTGCTTTTTTTGAAGATGATTGACTCTCGTAAGTCTGGTTCGAGGGCTGACGATTGCTTGTGGTCTTTTTACCAATTTAAACCTCCTTCTTTCAAAAAAAAGTACTGATAGATTATTTAATCCTAGAGAGAAGGGAGAGCTAGAGAGATAAAGTGATATGTATAATGAACTCCAATCAACCAACCAACCGTCCCCCTTTACATGTCTCCCATAGGGAGTATTTATAAGAGAAAAAGTGGGTTGGGCTTCCAGGCTTGGGCCTGGCTGGCCCAGTTACAATAAAAGGCCAATAAATGGCTAATAAATGATATATAATCTATTCTAATGGATATACATGAATAAAATAGAGTGTACAATGAGATAAATGCTATCCACTGAGCGTATGTGGGCCGCTGTCCGGACCCAATAGTCGTGAGACCCGGGGGTACGAGTCTATATACTCTATCAAGTACGTTTACTTTTAAAATACAATCAATCAAGTCATTGAACCTTAGTATTGACCAGTATTGTTCAATTAATTAATTTCATGTTATTAAGCCTTATCAAACCCGACCCGAAATCTGATTACCCCAGAATCAATCCATGTTTCCAACCTTTGTCCTTAGTTAGAAAGAGCCTTTTAGATTAATTTAGTTTTTGCATTACTTTAATTTCCTAAAAATCCAAATCTCACACATCGCATTATTTTATTTATTTATTTTTAATCAATGAATTTATTTAATTCATGATTCCCTTTTTTCGTCCATTTGGAGACGATACTCATACTTTAGCCCTATACTGCTATGTATGCTCATCACGTGTTGATTTTTGCTATGTACTGCTAGGATAGGTAAAATGGGACAGAGGGAGTACATTACATTCAAATGGTACTCCATTTCTTGATGTTTAACTAACTAACTAAGAAGGTTATGCATATTTTAAAAATATTTTTAAAATATTACATTACATTCAAATGGTATCGCCGCCACTACCACGGCCCCGAAAGAGATTTACATCCATTGGGTTCATGTGTGAAGAGAACAAAAGTGAAATGGCAGCCAAGTACCTGGTCATTCGATCGAATTGAATGCACGTTAGACCGCCAACTTCAAAAGGATAGTTTACAAATCGTGACTTACTTTTCCAACACTGACGTATGGGCCCCCATCAAACATACATTGATCACCATCGCCTCCAAAGACTACTATACTCCTCATGTGTTTCGAGATTCTCCTCTAGTTATGAATGGTGTTTTCCACTGGAACCACTACTCGGAAAGATTAACACTAGCACTTTATCATCCCGGCCGTGAAGAGGTCGTCGAGATCCAGAGCTACGAAGGAATTAATTATGATAACAATTATAGCGACACTGCTATGACAAGGTCATACACCATCGAGGGCGACGTGCTATGGTTCGGCTGCATGCATAGGACCCGAACTCATGAGACTTTTCATGCTGACAGTGAAGACGGCCGGGCAAATCAGTTAACTAATCAAGTATGGGTGTTGATGTACGCTATTAGTCGCGGTTCTCTCGGGAGCGAGACAACTTCATTGTCATCAGAGATTGAGATTACTGTGGGGAGGATTTCCTTCCAGTTAATGACAAAAAGGCTTATGTTGCTTTAACAATTCGCTTTGGAGGACCTGGGGTGATGGTATTTCAGTATTTCTTTTCCCCGAGATCTGTTCCATACTGTGGAACTAATAATTACCCTGTTGTATATCCTTACTTACAACCTTCCTCTCTTTCTACTTTTCCTCTTTAGTAAGTTACATTTTGGTCATTTTTACATTATCTCATCTTGAGTTTCATAATTATTTTTATTTGATTTTGTATTCAATAGCTAAATGTTTCTATGAAAAACGATTAGTATAGTAGTAAGTGTTTAGAATATTATGAAGACTTTGTTAAAAAGAAATTAAGTAATACTTAGTTTGTTTGGTACGGTAAGAAAAGTATTTTTTGCAGAAAAGTATTTTTTGTGTCACAGACAAAATGACGGTATATATAAATATCTCCACCTGCTCCCGTTTTGAGCTTTGAATTAATAAATTTATCCAGAATCAATGGTTTGAAAACAATATTTTTTACTTTTTTAAACCTCAAAGATGATAAATAGATTTTTGAGCAATGCAAGACAATTCTGAAATGTATACTCAGTCAACGTCTTCCCAAAGATCTGTTTGCAAAATGATTTGGAACTGGGAGAGCACTAAAATGCCAAAATTCAAACATCAATCTTGCCAAGGCAAAAATTTGAATCTTATTGTCTCTGAAATATATATCCTGAAATCGTTTAGGATCCAATCTTTTTATTTCCGGCCACAAACTGTGCCCATCCTAGCATCAATGACAACAACTTTATGCATCTTTTTTCCCATATTAAAATTTTTGAAGTCATAAAAAAATGATAAGCTATTCAAATTTGAAGAAGGAAAAAAATACGTAGTAGTTTTTTTAGGATCCAAAATAACCTTTCACTAGCTTACCATTTTATCTTTGGCTCTTATTTTTGAAGATTCAAAATATATAAATTTTCAGTAAGGAAAAAAATAGAATTTATTCTATGAACACGATGCTTTATCTATATCGTATTCGGATTCATGTGATAATACACATATTTTTACCAAGAGTCGAAACTTTGATATGTTGAAATGCGATATATTAAGATTTTGGCCAACCAAGATTTGGGAAAATGGACATAACATTATAAAATTAAATAATGAATTTATGAAAAAGGGAAGTATATATATCATCACTCCAAAGTTAGGTAACAAAGTGATCAAACAGCTAGTTCCACTTGTAAAGAATCTACTTTCTTCTTCCTTGGCCATTAAGGAGTTTGCTGATCTTATGTGGAAGTATTTGTGGTTTCTTTATTGTTAAGCCAAACAGGGTTATAAATTTTCGTAATAATTTCTTACGTAGTAAATGTTAGTCTTCCTTAAAAAGCAAATGAATCAATGATAATTAGCTTCATCATCATAAGCCATGGATGAGCAAATAATCACGAGAATTCTAGTCTGTTTGCCTCCAAAATCAGTTTACAGATTCAGGCTCGTATCAAAGTCATGGAACCATTTGATTTCCCATCTCTTTTTCATCCAGAGATACGACAGCCAGTTGAGGCGGCGCGGCGGTGCTGGTATGTTGGCGTTGTTTCAAGATGCATTAGTGCGGCCTGATTACCTCCGACCGGGAAACGAAAAGGTAAAGAAATCTTTGATGAACATACTCCCTCTTGACCTGCCCGGCAATTGCAAAATCCAATACAATTATCTAGAACTAGAACTAGGCAATTTCATAAATTCCTCTAATGGTTTGGTCCTTTGGGGCGGGCGTGAGACAGACAAGTACTACGTTCTTAACCCGATGACAAAGCGGGTTGTGACGTTACCATCCCCGCCCCCGCCCTCGGGGAGTGACACATCCATCGGGTTGATGTGTCAAGAGAACACACGAGAACTGGCAGCCAAGTACATCGTCGTCCGAACTGATTGTGTCAGCCAACAGGGAAGGCATACTTTGAGGATGGTGACTTATTCTTCTGAGAGAGGCATCTGGGCCGTGGCCGAACCTACAGTGATCGCCCCCGCGGGAGAATACTTGCCTGGTGTGTTTAAAGGTGCCCCTTTAGTGATGAATGGTGTTTTTCACTGGTACATGTACTCGTTCAGATTAACACTAGCACTTTATCGTCCCAGTGAAGAGCAAGTCCAGGTCATCAATATCCGCCACTATGATGGAATTGGTCAATACTGGATCTCCACAGCTATGACAAGGTCATTCATTGAGGACGATGACATGTTACTGTTCGGGGGCAATGATGCCGTAACTATGAGAGTTTTCATGCTGACTAAGGATAGTGAAGATGGGGCTAATCCGCGCCCAAGTGCTGTGACTGCTCAAGAATGGATGTTGATGTACGATATCAGTGTTGATTCGATCTGGAACGACATCGGCTTACTGTCATCAGCCGGGAGAGGGAGGTTTTTCGTAGAGGCCTTCATTCCGCTTAATAATAAGAAGGCTCTCATTGCTCTTATTCGTTGGGTACCACGCGGGAAGGTGTACCTTTACAACCTGGACAACAAATCCATCCAGTCCATTCCATGTCATGGAAAACCTGTAGTTACCTCCCAGCAGTTGAATTTACTTGGCTATACCTATCCTTATTACTTAGAACCTTCCTCTCTTTCTGCATATGCTCTTTAGCTATTATTCTATTAATATAATCGAGGTGTTCTTTCTTGAACTCTTCTCTATATATGGATTAAGATGAACAACTTTTGCTGCAACCAATATCAATGGCCAAATGTGGTGTGATTCCTTATGTTGTGACCTCTTGAATTTTAAGCATGAGAGCCCACATCCAACTTAAACTTTTATATGGCCAAAGGCATTCTTCTATGTAAACTTTTATTAAACAGTAAACTTACTCTAAGGAAGTGTTTGTAAATGCTTTTGCTTAAAAGAAAACACGTTTTGAAGTGATTTTGGATAAAGTGATTAGTAGTAAAAGTTAATAGTGTTTGAGAAAATAAATGTTTTTTGTGTAATAGAAAAAGAAAAAAGCATTTTTCACTCAAAAGCCGAGAAACGCTTTTTAAGCAGAAGTTGTCACTTGAAAACTCTTATTATAGCATTTTTAAGTCAAAAACTGAGAAGCGTTTTTTTAAATTATTGCAAACACTCTCTGAGTAAATTCAAGAATGAGAAATTACAAATTTGTATTACATAAAACTTAAACTTTTAGGTTCTATTTACTTTTAATTTTTAATTCTTTCATCACATTTATTTTATCACATGCTCTCTTTGTAACAGTCAACTTGTTCTTAACTTCATTATTAGTTAATCATCCACATTCTTAACTTTATAAAAACCAAATGTAACATATTGGAAACGGGCACTGCGTAGTACTCCATCATCATGTATTGCCTCGCTATCTGAGTTATTGTTCAAAGAGCAATGATGTATATGGACGCCTATATATACAAAAAAAAAGTGTTAGAAGATTAACAAAACCAAAACCTCAAGATGCATATTATTTCCCTTTGTTGTAGCAAATCTTGCTTCAAAATTCAATTCAATACATTTCATATTTGTGACCTTTTATCACTCGCTTATAGAAGTGGGAAAGGAGGGTGAATCAGTACACAAAAAGAGTCTATCGTATGTTTGGCATAACTAGCTGAAAAGATACTTTTGTAACCTTTTTAATAATTACTAGTATTAGTTTTTATTGACTGAAAAGGTCTTAAAAAGAAAAGGTGATAGTTGTTTGGTAAAAAGTTGAGGGCCTGTTTACTAACAGAGATATTTTCCTGTTTTCTACTTCTGTTTTTCGTTCTCCAATTTTCTGTTTTTATTTTTCAGTTTTTCTATCTCCAATTTTCTGTTTCTATTTTTTAGTTTTTCATTTTCAAATCTGAAAACATGTTCATCAATTTTTTTACTCAGTTCTCCAATTCCACACTCTTGACCCCTACCCTTACCACGATCTTACACTCTACCCATACTCCCCCACAACCCTTCATACCCACCCATACCTACTCGTAGGGGTCGGGGGTAGGGAAGTTATGGGTGGGGGTGGGGTAAGGGGTATAGTCGGGGTGGGCTGGTAAGGTCTAGGGGTAGGGGGTTGGGTGGGGGTAGTGGGTGGGTTAGGGTCGTGGTTAGGGGTAAGGGTGGGGTAGTGGGTAGGGTTTGGGGTAAGGTAGAGGTAGGGTATGGAGTTGGGATAGGATGGCGGTTGGGTGGGGCCGGGACCAGGGTGGGGCTGAGGTAGGGAAGGGGTAGGGGGGTGGGGGGGTAGGATGGCGGTAAGGGTGGGGGTAGTGGGATAGGATGGCGGTAAGGGTGGGTGGGGGTAGGGTTGGGGTTGGGGTAAGGTAGGGGTAGTGGGATAGGATGGCGATAGGGTGGGCCCGGGATCTGGGTGGGGCCGAGGTAGGGGAAGGGTAGGGTGGGGGGTAGGATGGTGGTCGGATGGCGAAAGGGTGGGGGTAGGATGGAGGTACGAGGGTGGGGGTAGGATGGCGGTGGGGGTGGGGCTGAGATAGGGCATGTGGTAAGGGGTAATATACGGGTGGGGGTAGGGTGGGGTGGGGCCGAGGTAGGGGAAGGGTAGGGTGCGGGGTAGGATGGTGGTACGATGGCGGAAGGGTGGGGGTAGGATGGCGGTGGGGTGGGGCCGAGGTAGGGGCATGTGGTAAGGGGTAATATACGGGTGGGGGTAGGGTAGGGTGGGTCGGGGTCGAGGTGGTAGGGGGGTGGCGGTAGGGTAGGGTGGATCGGGGTGGGGGTAGGGTCATTATTGGGAAAAATGGGTATGCGGGGTGGGGTTGGGTGGGTAGGGTAGGGTAGGGTAGGGGTATAGGGTAAGGTATGAGGATGGAGGTATCGGAATAAAATCGACATCGGAGCGGGACCGGACCCACCACTAGGTGTAAGTAAGCAAATTCATTGCAGTGGCACTGTAGCATCTGCGTTTTCCAAATTTTGAAAACTAGTAAAAGTCACTTCTCCAAATTATTAAGGAAAAGAGAGACATGTCTCATTTTTTCCGTTTTGGAAAACGATTTGGTAAACGTGTTTTTCTTTTTTCCTTTCTCCAGTTTTCCAGGAATTTCTTTGGTAAACACGTTTCCTGTTTTCTATTTTCCAGTTTTCCTGTTTTTGGAAAACTAGAAAATATCTATGTTAGTAAACAGGCCCTGACTGTTTGATTTAGTTTTGTTCGGTATACAAGCTGTTTGGATTAATTAATGCTAAAAGTCACAGACTTTTCTCAGATGCTACTCCCTGTAACATCTCAAAAAAGAGCATTTATTTTTTGAAAAACTCTTAAGTATTGTTATGTCAAACATACCACTGGAAGTTTTAAGAGTGTTTTTAAATAATAAAAAAGCTAGAAGGTATAGACTTTTGTCTCCTAATGTGCTGGAAAAATATGTCAACGTCTAAAATAAAAAGATACGTGTAACGACAACATGTACGGAGTAGTTGATATGACAACTTTTATATAAAGTTGATGATTTATATATTGTATATACATATTTGAATTTTTTCCAAATTTTTGAAATTTGATACATTGAGATCTTGAATCATAATTACGATTACTAATCTTGTTTCAAATTGAATAGAATATTAATAATTTATTATTTGTTTTTTATCGTATAATTTGTTACGTAGTATTTGTTTGTAAATACTTTTAGTATACTGTATACACTATACATCACTAATAAGACTAATTTTTTAGTATTTCATTTGGCCTATAACATGACATTTGTTATCTATGTCGTATTTGGATTCATGTGATAATGCACTCTCATTTTTACCAACTCGAAAATTTGATATGTTACAAGGACGGAGTATATTTTAAGAAAGTTCAATTAACAATTTGTATTCAAAGGTAGTGCCCCCAATAAAAATTAAGTAGTGCCCCCAATAAATTTTCATGGAACAAGGAAACCGGTCAATGCCAATATATTGCACAACTTTTGCAAATTAGTGGATGCCACTTTTATACATTTTATTCTTAGTATCTAATCTTAAGCAACTAAATAACTAAAAGGAAGCTAAGGAAAAATAGATCACAATTTGTGTTCTCTAGGTGATCTGATACTTTTATTGTTTATACAATAATCCTAATAAGTGTTTTTTTGACTGCCTAATAAGTCAGTAACTATGTAAAAGTAGATGTACTTAATACATTACTAATGAAGTCCTCACTTAAAAAAAAATGAATATATCAAGACATCAAGGTATAAGACTCCCTTTATTTCTAAACAAATTCTCACTTTAATTGTGCAAGGAGATTAAAAATAATGGCTCATAAGAGGATTAAAAGACAAAAGCGGATGAAATTATCTTCTGAGTGAATGATTCTATTAGGGAAACTAATTTTTTAGTATTTCATTTGGCCTATAACATGACATTTGTTATCTATATCGTATTTGGATTCATGTGATAATGCACTCTCATTTTTACCAACTCGAAAATTTGATATGTTACAAGGACGGAGTATATTTTAAGAAAGTTCAATTAATTAACAATTTGTATTCAAAGGTAGTGCCCCCAATAAAAATTAAGTAGTGCCCCCAATAAATTTTCATGGAACAAGGAAACCGGTCAATGCCAATATATTGCACAACTTTTGCAAATTAGTGGATACCACTTTTATACATTTTATTCTTAGTATCTAATCTTAAGCAACTAAATAACTAAAAGGAAGCTAAGGAAAAATAGATCACAATTTGTGTTCTCTCGGTGATCTGATACTTTTATTGTTTATACAATAATCCTAATAAGTGTTTTTTTTTACTGCCTAATAAGTCAGTAACTATGTAAAAGTAGATGTACTTAATACAGTACTAATGAAGTCCTCACTTATAAGACTCCCTTTCTTTCTAAACAAATTCTCACTTTAATTGTGCAAGGAGATTAAAAATAATGGCTCATAAGAGGATTAAAAGACAAAAACGGATGAAATTATCTTCTGAGTGAATGATTCTATATTAGGGAAAAATAACAATAGCCATATTTAAAAATAATAATCTCATTAAAAGTTTGCAGATGATACTAATGTTGTAGAGAGATCAATAAAATCATAAAAGTACCAATTCAAATAGCATAATATTGATTTCTTTAGAATTAAATGGAAGATAAAAAGAGGATGACACCTCATCCCTAAGAACCCTCCAGAACCGATTGGACAATTATCTAAGAAATTAAATAGGAGATAAATTTAGATTTGATGAAAGCAGAAACTATGAAGACTAGTTAGAAAAAAAGTTAGGAATATAGGAAGTGTTTTCTCGGATTATATAATATTATAGCATTATTTGAACTATATATATATATATATATATATATATATATATATATATATATATATATGTGTGTGTGTGTGTGTGTGTGTGTGTGTTTACAATAAAAAAAACTAAATATATGTTTATTTAGTCATACTTAGCTTGACATTTCCTTATACTTTACTATTTAATTATAGTGGGTAGCAAGCAAGGGGTGGATACGATTTGGAATGGTTCGGGATTAGGGTTATACCGGTCCCGATCTGATAATCATACAAATGGGGCAACAAGACGGGATGTGAACCTTTTAATTGTACGAACGAAACATTATCAGTTTCAGGTTATTTCGTAATGGGATAACGGGTCATGATTCTTGGCCAACCCTAATAGTCAGTGCCTCCAATAACAAAAAATCCTAGATCCGCCCTTGCAATGTGATATACGTATTAAGATTTGGTCGATCAAGAGTATCTAATCTTGTACTCCCTCCATCCCTTTAAAAGATTCTCATTTATTAACAAATAAATGAGTTATTAATACTAACACCATTATATCATACTTTTTACCTTTGTTCCTAAGTAAACATTTCATTTCTCTTTAAGTAATCTTAAATAACAAATGAATCATGAAATATTAAAAATAGTTCATTTATAAAATCAGAGTTATCAATACTAACACCATTATATTATACTTTTTACCTTTGTTCCTAAATAAACATTTCATTTCTCTTTTCGATCCGTCCCTTAAATATGTCCCATTTCCTTATTTAGTAAACAATATAGTACAAAACAGTGTCACTTTTTTAAATTGTGTTAAAGTCAAACGGAATTTTTAATTTGGGGCGGAGGGAGTATACCTATTAAAATTATTCTCAAAATATATTTGAATTATCTTATTTAATTATTGTCTAAGTAACTATGTCATTTTGTCATGCGAACTTTTTATTAATTATTATCTAAATAACTATGTCATTTTGGCATGAGCACTTTTTAACAGGAGGTAGGTAATATATGACAACTCAGAAGTTTGGGAAAATGAACATTTATAAAATTAATTAATGAAATTATGTAAAAGCGAAGTGTATCTTCACTCCAAAGCCAGGAACAAAGTGATCAGTCAGCTAGTTCCACTTGTAAAGAATCTACTTTCTTCTTCCTTGCACTCCAAGGAGTTTGCTGATCGTATTTGGAATGTATTTGTGGTTTCTGCATTGTTAAGCCAACAGGTTTATAAATTTTCGGAATAATTTCTTAAATTTTACTCATCTTTGTAAAGCAAATTGATCAATAATAATTAGCTTCATCATCATCATCATCATAAGTCGTCGATAAGTAGGTCTGGCTGCCATGGATGAGCAAATAATCGCGGGAATTCTAGTCTGTTTGCCTCCAAAATCAGTTTACAGATTCCGGCCTGTATCGAAGTCATGGAATCATTTGATTTCCCATCCCCTTTTCATCCAGAGATACGACAGCCGGCTGAGTCGGCGCGGCGGTGCTGGTTTGTCGGCCATGTTTCAAGGTGCATCAGCCCGGCCTGATAATTACCTCCCCCCGGAAAGAAATCTGTGATGAACATACTACGTCTTGACCTGCCCGGCAATAAGGCAATTGCAAAACCCAATATCAGTATCTAGAACTAGAACTATGCGTAGCCATAAATTTCTCTAATGGTTTGGTCCTTTCGGGCCAGCGTGAGTCACACAAGTACCACGTTCTGAACCCGATTACAAAGCGGGTTGTGTCGTTGCCACCCCGCCGCCACCGTCGTGGGAAGACAAATCCATCGGGTTGATGTGTCAAGAGAACAAAAGTGAACTGGCAGCGAAGTACATCGTCGTCCGAACTGATTGTTGTGCCCAACAACCGGAAAGGCCTACTTTGAGGATGGTGACTTACTCTTCCCAGACAGGCATCTGGGCCGCCGCCGAAGCGACAGTGATCGTCCCCACAGGAGAATATGTTCCTATTGTGTTTGCAACTGATCCTTCACTGGTACATCTACGGGTTCAGATTAACACTAGCACTTTATCTTCCCAGTGAAGAGCAAGTCCAGTTCATCGAGATGCACCACTACAATGAATTTCGTCCACATTACTACATCACCACTGCTATGACAAGGTCATCAATTGAGGACGGTGACATGTTATGGTTCGGGGGCATTGATACCAAAACTATGAGAGTTTTCATGGTCACAAAGGACAGTGAAGATGGAGCTAATCCGCGCCCAAGTACAGTGGCTGCTCAAAAGTGGGTGTTGATGTACAATATCAGTGTTGATTTGATCACGAACGACACTGCCTTAGTGTCATCAGCAGAGACAAGGAGGATTTATGTGAAAGCCTTCATTCCTCTTAATAATAAGAAGGCTCCTGTTGTTCTTATTCGCGAGGAAGAAAGCAGGGAGGTATATTTTTACAACCTGGACACCAAATCTATCCAGTCCGTTCCATATCATAGACAACAACCTCCAGTTACCTCCCAGCAGTTGAATGTTCTTGTCTATGGCCACAGTATTATAGCTAGATATCCTTACTTCGAACCTTCCTCTCTTTCTACATATGCTCTTTAGCTATTAATCTGAGGTTTTCTTTCTTAAACTCTTCTCTATATATGGATTAAGATGAACGGATTTTTCTGCAATGAATGTCAATTGCTAAATGTGAGTTGATTCCTTATGTTGTGACCCCTGTATATGGCCAAAGGCATTCTTTCATATAACCTTTTAATGAACTGTAAACTTGCTCTGAGTAAATTTTAATTAAATTCATTACTAGTTAATCATCCTAATTCTTAACTTTACAAAAAACAAAATCTAACATATTGGAAACGGACATTGCGCAGTATTCCACCATCATATATTGCCTCACTATCCGAGTCATTGTTCAAAGTACAATGATGTATTGATGCCTATATATAAAAAAAACTATTGGAAGATTTAGTCAGTCAACCTTTACTTGTGTTCTAATCTCAAATTACAATAGAACCAGAGTAACAAAACCAAAACTTCAAGAGGCATATTATTTCCCTTTGTTGTAGCAAATCATTTCTTCAAAATTCAATATATTACATTTCATATTTGTGACCTTCACTTACAGAAGTGGGGAAGGAGGGTGAACCTGTGAATAAAAAAAAGTATATACCAATGTGCTGGAAAAAAATGGCAACGTCTAAAATAAAAATATACTCCGTATATTTGTGCTTCCATCATCGGACAACATTCATCTGTCTATATGGGATCAAAAACGGCGTTTGTTTCCTTTTATGATTGGAGATGGACATAAACTAAAGGATCTCGTGGGAGTAGCTCTTGCTGGTGACGATGCTTTTAATGGATGTACTGGTGAAGAAAGTGGGGATTGAAATAATCTTCCCAAGGAATTTGTTCTTATCACCCTTGCAGGTGAAGCTCCTGGTGATTGACATTTTGATGTGCCTGCAGTAATCAACAGGTACATTTTGCTAAGAAATGCTAAGAAATGTGTATGTAAATTGCGCTAAAGAAACTTATCAATTTACCTGCTTCATTTTGCTTGCTCTTCAAACTATTGTTAAATATAGCATTTTTCAGTGTGAGCTTCGATTTGGTTGGCTTTAAAGTGGTTGCTTTTTGTGGATCCTCGGGAGTAGATGATGAATGGTTTATTGAGCTGAGCATTTTCTTTTCTGGGATTTTGGTTAATCTAAATTTGGTTTTCATATTGCTTAAGAATTTCTTTCTTGTCGATTCAGAACGAAATGGCGTCGTTGTAACGCCTGTTGTTAGTTTTGGATTCTCTCCATAACATTTTGGTTTATACCCAGCTTCTGTTGATGATATCTTTTCTTGTGCCTCATGATCATCACGATTTGATGCAGGTTTTGGGTCAATAGTTGTCAAACGGTTCTTCTTTCCCGCAACCTCAGCTGTTAAATGCTTCTTCCCAGTAGATCGAGAAACATCATTTGCCAACCACTGAATTTTTGTTTTTGATGACATTCCTCTGTCTGACTTGGTCTCATTGCTGCTTTCTGTGGATATTGAATGATGGCTTTTCCTTCTTCGTCTCTCAACGAAAGGCGCACTTGGATGATCATTCGGCAGCCCAGAGAGTAGCCTCCAGTCAGGGGTATCTGCAAAAGCTGAGGTAGTTTCATCAGATAGAATTGAAATTTGATCAGCTGAAGATAAGCGCTTTGAGTGTGGGATCTCTGAGACCACAGATCGTTGATCAGAAAAAATTCCCAGATCATTCCTGTCCATAACTTCCGAGCACGCCAATCTTCTGTGACGAGTTCCACCATTATTTTGCATGATGACATGGAGATCATCTTCATCAGGCAGACCTTGAGTCGTGAATGGAAAGCCACCATTTCTTGAAGTTTTCTCCTTCTCAACAAGCTTATAAGCAAACATCTGAAATGGTATTTCACATACAGAAGGAACAGATTGCGTGATGCCATCTATGGCAGCAAATTTATTGGAGTAGCCAGCTTCAATGTCACAGTAATCAACAAGAGGAGGAGGACAACCAGGCTGACCATGCTCGGGATTTATAACAAGGACCTTCTTCATGTATCGTAAAATCCTGCAAATGGAAGAAAAACCGGGGCGTGTGTTGGGGCTGGTTTGCCAGCATTTCCTGACCAAGTTCATGAGGAATTTAGGGAAAGGGTGTGGGAAGAGTGGCCTCTCCCCAGCCATCAAACTGTGTACCATTTTATCTCCTTGAAGGGGCCGCACTATCTCCCCACTGCCTACCCCATCCTCAAATGGAGCTTTCCCTGTCAGAATCTGGAAACACAGCATACCAAAGCTGTACACATCAGCTTTCTCCGAGTACTTCATGTTGCCTGTGTTGTTGCTGCTGCTTAGCTCAACCACAACTTCTGGTGCATACCATACCACCGGATCAATTCCACTTACCCTTGGGCAGCTTCTGTGAGTATACTGGCTTTTCAGAAGGGATAAACCAAAGCCAGCTACCTTCACATGGAAGTAATAACTCTCCAAAGATGAGGAGCAGGAGTTGGTTGTTGGTCTGAGAAGAATATTTGATGGATTCAACTCACCATGGAAAAGGCTTCTTGAATGTAAGTACTCCACCCCTCTTGCAATCTGAAGCATTATGTCAACTGCAACCGGGATAGAAAATGACATTCTCCTCCTTTGCCCGGAATTCTCCTTCATGAAAATGTCCAAACTCTTGCTCATCAAGTCCATCACAAGAAACCCCTCTTTCCTTGATTCATCATAGAATCCGCAGTGGTATTGCAGCACATTTGGGTGAGACATCGACATAGCCATAGCGATCTCCGGTCTCAGCACTTCAATGTCTCCGTAAAAAGTCCTCAGTGCGAAACTCTCTCCTAGCCATTGGATTTCCTTAAGATGGCTCCCGCCTGATCCTATGCGTCGTTTCACGTGATAATCGCTTGCTTCCAACAATAGGGAAGTTGGTAATAGCATAGTATCTGTCTCTAATCCTCTGCTCAACTTCATGATCAGCTTCTCCGCCAGCTTATTGCTCTGTATCTTTCTCAACATCTCAAGAAGCAGCCATCTGTCTTCATTCCAAATGCACTCCAACCGGCTGCATATCTCTCGGGATACTAAATACTGGTTCCCATACTTCCATTGGAAAAGCGTTGGGTCATTGCACTTGGTAGTGTCATACTTGTTCATGAGTGCAAGTCTCCTCTTCTGCACATCTTCTTCATGGAGCCCACCTGAGATTTCGGCAGCTGCTTCAATTGCCTCGATCACCACCACGAAACAGGAGAGCAAGTTGTGAATGTGAAGCTCGACGCAATCTCTGTTTGAATGGATACTAATAGCCTTCCCCAGCTGGTTCTTGATGTCAATGCAGTTCATTATATACGATTCGCCTTCCTTGAAAATCCTGTATAGCTCTCTCATTGGGCGCTCGAGCGGTTTCCACTTTGTGCCCCTCTCGTCTAATCTTAAGTGCTGTTTGATTTCATCAGAGATTTTGTTGAATGCCTGAACATAGATGTCGAAGAGAAAGCAACATTGCCTTGTGTTTATTACGATGTCGTGCTTCAACACCATTAAGGCCTGCATGCTCCCCACAACCTCCCCAATCTGACAGAACTGATCCATGTTCTTGGATTTATCAGAATGGAAGCTATACCTAATACCTTCATTTAGTTAATATATACTGAATTAGTCAACAGATGATTTAAGGAATTTAACTAAGAAAAGAATGCTATGGAAATTGATCTACAATGCAGGAAAATGCAAATCATATTAAAGCACAAATCATGAACGCTCCACAAATTGGTTGTTAATAAAGAAAACATGTGTTTTAGATCAAGAATCTAAACAATCAAGATGGAACATATCCTTCAAGTTGCACAACACCAAAGAGAATGGGATCGAATTCAAAATCCCTAGATTTGTTCCGGGTCCAACCATGTCTAAGTAAGCAAAACAATGTCATTTTGATCACTTGGAAACAGTCGGACATCGGACCCGGGCGAAAAATCCCCCATTTAATATCTAAAAGCTTAATCTTGTCATGCACTAAACCACAATTATCTTTGCAACACACATTAGGAGAAACATAAACAAGACAAAAATGCAGGATGATCGTTGAAAACAAAAAAAAATACTGTTTAATTTTAAGGGCCATATAGATAATGCATGAATTTCACTATAAGACAGAGAAGATTATAATGAAGGTTGAGGAACGACGATGCATAGTTGCATGCATATGAATATCACCATATGTCTATGAATGCAGATTAGTAAATTTTGAAGGAAAAATAAGTGGAATTTTAATTTGCCATGCATGAATAACAAGTAATGGCGTAATGATTATCGATTAGGAATCAAGAAGGTCTAATGTTATGCATATATACATACAAAACTCTGCTGCTCAGAAGGCCTAAAATGCTGAATTTCTATCAGATTGCGACCAATCCAATAGAAATCCAGCAAGACCCATCAGGCACCGGATGTTGAATCTTGAACGTAAATAGACCTTCCCTCCTGTTGGTGTAAAGCAATATGAATAGATCAGAAAGTTTTCTCAAAATTATTATTATTATTATTATTATTATTATTATTATTATTATTATTATTATTATTATTTACTATTATTATTTATTATCTCATCATTATCATTATCATCATCATCATTATCATCATCATCATCATCATTACGTGTATTATTATTGTTTTTTATTATTATTACTTTTATTATTACTTTTATTATTTCTATTATTATTAGTATTATTTTTTTTATTTGTTATTAGTATTATTATTAATGGTATTATTATTATGACTAGAAACAAAACAAAATAATATGTGGAAGCAAAAACCCAAAACATGTTGGGCATTAAGAAAAAGGTTAGTTTTCTTCTCCTTTTGGGAAAATTCCCCAAATAAGAGTAACAATGGTTTCGAATTCTAAAATATGACTGTTATATTTTTATTCTCCAAATATAACTATCAAGTTTGATAAATACCGCCACGTTTAAAGTCTGGTGTTGCCAAAATATGACAATAATTACTCCTATTACAGAAATAAAAACATGACAATCTCATTTTGAAATTTTAGAACATTTTGACTTCTATTTAGGATAATATTCCTCCTCTTTTGTCTTTATGAAATCTTTTATTATTTCCCGTTCATTTTCACACTTTGCTTTTCTAAAGCTTGTTTAAAATTTTCAAATATTTTAGCACCCATTTTGGTGTCATTATCTTTCCTCTTCGTGTGTTTTGTGTCTTTCAAAGATCGAGAAGAATGTTCTTCGAGCATAAAATATTTTTGGAGTTTTTTCTATTTTCAATCCCTCGACGTACTATTGTGTAAGTGACATTTTTTATACTTGACTTTCAATTTTCCCATTTTTAGTCATCGACTATTTGTGAGAGAGACACTTTTAGTCCTCGACTTCAATGTTTTCCATATTTAGTCTCATAAGTATTGTAAAATCGACTCTTTTAATCCTTCCAATATGAATTTGACACAATAAACGAAGGACTAAAAATGTCACTATAATAATAATTCAAGGATCAAAACTGACACTTTTATGAAAATTGCAAGACTAAATGTGGAAACTGACACTTTTATGAAAATTGCAAGACTAAATGTGGAAATTTCACTGCAAGTTTTTTCAATAAATGTGTATATATGTCTATGTGCGCTTGCGCATATTTTTTTCATATAACTTTGTGAATTTGATAACCAATAATAAATATAGTGTACATGTTCAAATTTAGGAATTAATGCATCCTAAATTCGGAAATTTGATCACTGCATTCCCATTTCGGAAATTTGGAAGCATGTTGGAAACTTGAAGTTCTATTTCGATACCATTTTCGTAATTACAAAGAATTGGGAAACTGGTTCCCATAAATAATTAGTGCTTTGTAAACTTTGAATTTCATATTTAATTCTTTTAATGCAATTTCTTGATGGAAAGTAGTGTTATTTTTTAAAATGTTGGAAATTCTGAAGAATTTTTTTGTGGGAATTTTTTTTGTTCATAGATCTTCATTTCCTTTTTCTTTTTTGTACATCTCATTTCATTCATACAACAACATGCAAACCTTGGTGATCTCGTTGATATTAAATTAAAATAGTTAGTTTGTCTCATATCTCTTTCTTCTGCAAATTAAGATACACCTTAAAAGATAGATTATCTGGTTTATCTCATTGAGCACAAAATATAAATGGGGCAACTTCAATACCAAAAATATTGGCTTTTAAATTCAGCTAAATCTTTACAGCTTTTGCCCAATCTAGCCGTTCATCCATCAATAAGGGAGAAAGCTACAAATAATGACTAAATCTTAAGCATTTCAATCTTAAATGCATTAAATTGTCCTACATACAATACAATTCTGATTTTCTTCATCAATAAGGGAGGAAGCATGTTAGATGTACCGGTCAACGTACTTAAGGGGAAAAGTATGCATACGAGAAAGTTACAATGGGGGATTGGGGGTGAGAATTGAGAAAGCTCCAAGAACTGAGACCTTCAAAGGAAGGCTCAAAGAGGGATGGTATGAACAGTCCTTCACAAACAATGTGAAGAGATCGGATGAGAAGGTAAGATAGAGAGACGGGACAAACAATGGTGCAAGTGAGAGATAAAGCAAGAAATGAGAAGCTAGAAGCAAAGTAAAAAAAAAACTATTCATCCAATAAAATGGAAAAGGCGTTCCCAGTCTTCAGAATAAGATATACTCGTATACGTTTTTGAGAAAAAGATATATCTAGTCTTTAAAAATAATCTCAAGAAAAATATTCAAACAAGCCCTTCTAGATTCACCCCCATTTTTTGCCTACTTTTGGTCATTAGCAAAGCCTTTAATTGCATTACCATGTCAACAAAATGAAATGCATGTGGTATTTGGGACTTGAGCTCATCTCAATCAAAACTGGTAGGGAGTGCACACATTATTACAGACCATGATAGCAACGTATTTCTGGTTTATAGTCCGTCAAGTGACATCACACTAATCAACATCACAAGTTCAGAATATTATATAATGCACAAGTATCAACGGCAGATACAACAAGGTCAACTCATTTTCCCTCCGATTGTATCAGATTTCCCGTCATTCTGTGCAGCAAGCGAAAACTTCTTCACTTTCTGCAAGATAACATCAGCAAGCCATTAAACTTCAGTTATAACCACCCAGTGAACAATATACTCTCACTTTCTTTTATTGTTGTTTGTCACAGAATGGTGTGTTCAAGGTAGTCAAAGTTGAAAGGCGCACCTGAAGCGCTAGGGGTCTTCTAACGCCTGAGGCGCAAGGCGCAAAAAAGCGCTTGCCTGACTCGGGTGAAGCGCATTACTTAGATAAAATCACATATACTATTCCATACTTAACCAAATATGATGTATGTAACATCATATTGAACCAAATGCATATAAAATTCAGGATTCACCAAAATAAAGTCATGATTCACAAAAAATAAAACACCAAATTCAGAATTCATGGCTTTAATACTAACACTATAAATGAAAGACAATCAAATTGGAGCCTATTTCCCCTTGTTAAACTTGTGAGCCTACATAGTACTATTACATTATTAATAACATAGCAATATACTAATGTTGTGAGTAACATAAAGTAATACAGAGTATTATGACTATTATATACAAAGCAATATACTAATGTTGTGGGTGATATAGAGTAATACTGAGTACTATTACTTTGTTATATACATAACAATATACTAGTGCTGTGAGTAATATAGAGTAATGCAGAGTATTAATACATTATTATGAGTAATATAGAGTATTATATACATAGTAATATACTAGTACTTTATTATATACATAGAAATATACTATAAGAGCACATATCTTGTTTAGTGGTGTGAGGGAGAACTGAGTTTGCTTAAGATGATGAAGAAAACAGAAAGAACTGGCTGGTGTAGAGCAACTTGAGTGAGAAGAGTGAGTACGCTGAAGAGCCGATGATGGCTAGCGATATAACTTAGGTTTTACACAAGGTTTTACGTTTTTACCTACTTTACTTAAAGGTTTTACGTAGGTTTAAATGGTTTTACCCTATTATTTACATGGGCTGAGTGTTATTAAAGATATGGGCTAATTATTTTTTAAAGTTTTAAACCAAAAATAAGGCTTGTCAGCCTTTTCCAGATCAGGCGACCCAGGTGTGCGCCTTTTCCGCTTCAGCGCTTCATGCGCTTAATGCGCTTATGCTGCTCCTAACCCAGGTACGTGCGCCTCTCCTTCTCCCAAGCGCTGAAGGCCCTGCTCGCTGCGCCTGGTGCGCTTAAGCGCTGGGGCGAGCGCTTTTGACTACCTTGGGTGTGTTTAATATTTTTTCTTTTCCTTATGAATAAATTTCAACCCCATAACATCATTTCCTTAGCAAGCCAATTCAGGGGCAATGTGGAGTATATTTTTGTATATAATTAGTTTCTTATACAAGTAAAACCTAAAGTTAGGGGATAGGTAGAGTAATTACTACTATGAACTTGATTAGAGGAGACAAATAAACTCGGTATCCAGAGCTTACAATCACTTGTCAAAGTATTTGTATATGAGAAACAATTCAAAAGCCAAATATTACTTTTCTCCAAGCAGATAGCAGGGACATTCTCTTTGTGACTTTTGCTCTAAGCAGTCACATTTGGCAATAAAGACAGAGAGGAAACTAGAATTAAAGTCTTTTCTTTGAAGTAAATAAAAAGATAAACTCTTTTCTCCAATATAACACTACGTACAACAGAAAGACAGAGCATATGAGAAAAATAAGTCGCAGGAAACCACACAATTTTCACTCTATAGTGTGGTTTATTTAAAAATTTCAGAATTCGAACCACACAATTGTCAGTCAAATGTGCAAAACATTGTGGGACGAATTATGTCCCAGAAAGGGTTCTCCCTTTGACTTGAATAGAGAAAATTTATGGTTGACATTTACTCAGAAAGAAGGAAACAAATTATTAAGCACACATTTCGTTCCTCAAAAGTAAATCACAGCCTACGGTAGGGTAAGGGGGGGTCGGATGTACGCAGTCTTACCACTCTTACCCCTGTACTAAAGCACACAGAGACTGTTTCCGGATGACCCATAATGAAAATCGCGTCAAAAATTGCATGGACTAACTGCTGCTTCATAACAAAGAAGAGCAGACAGTTTGGTGAGTCATTTTGCTTTATTCCATCATATTCTCAAGCCAGTTTGCTCCATTTCAATGCTACATAGGCAAGTTTTTTTTATTACCAAAG